AAAATAGATATAAAAAGCGTTAATATAATATAAAAAAAAAACAGATCAGATAGAGAAACCAGAAAATTTAGATTTTTTTAACTATAGTTGCTGTAGTTGGATTATAACTTCAGAAGCGAGAAACCACACGCTTTTTGCGGCACGTTGAAATAAATGAGATTTTTCGCATGCTACCATTCGCGCTTTAAAATAAACTTGTAAAAGTGCCACCAACTTTCTTTTAATTCATTTTCATTAATAAATGACCGCATAATTTTCAAATGTGTCTTATGGAACTAAGTGGAACTAAAAAGTTGAGCAAAACTTTGGGTACATGTTTCTCATACGTCAAAGACGTGAAAATATTTATATGAACATAAACCTTATCTAAAAATCTCAAACTTGAAAGACTTTCTCAATAGATTGCTTAGCAAGCAGCATCAAACATTTTGCGTTTTCCTGTAATTTGTTTATTTCTCTTCCCTTATTATCTTAATTAAATTAAGTTTTATATATGTATATAGATATATTTTTTTTTCTTTAACATTTCTTAATAGCCTTAATATTTCATTAAGGTGTTATTATACAGATATATGTTACAGAAAATCACAAAAAATGTATATATATATTAAATCCGTTATAGTCCAATATTGCCTCGACTACTCAAAAGTCTTAAAACCTTTCTCTCGCAAATCCGCGATCCGAGAACCATCGAGGGTCGACAAATACCGACGGTCTCGGCGATTTCGGCTTGATCTATTGCAAGTCGCAACCGGCTGCTCAACCGCGGTCAGTTTCGCCCGAAGGAACGAGTTGTCCCTCCGGGCACGGAGAGAAAGGCCCACCACCCCGTCGCTCCCTTCTCCCTGGCTTACAGGCGGGGAAAAGCCCGTGGGGGTTGCGGACGCCATTCAACCGTAACAAAAGGCAATCACCATAGAAGTGGCGGCACTGGAACTAGCAGCGGTCATAAGTTATCGAAATCACATCGATATTTCGCGTAGAGTTCCGCGAAACGAACTGTACACTGCTGGCGCGCTGGGAGGTGAATAAAAGTGTGCGCAAAGTGCGATACAAATCGCACTGATTATAATATAAGAGCCGCGCGACAGCGACTAGATTCAAAACATGTGTGCTTTAATAGGTCGATTAACGATGAAAACTCAGTTACACAATAATTAATGACGACGATTAAATTTTAGCAATTTAGTGTACTAATAGCGGCTAGTGTAATAATCATTGGCCAATTGTAATATATTATAACAGTTAAATGATTTTAAATAATGACGACAGATTAATTGTGGTTCAATTAGTAATAACAATTGAAATCAATCAAATAAGTACGGTAATAATAATTAATTGGACCATGGTTGTCAATTCAACTGGCATTAATGGATATACACGGAAAAGCACATTTTTTCAGTAATTTTTTATTTATTTAGAATACTTGCATTATTGCACGGAATAAACCTCCGTTTATTATTATTTTTCAAAGAGGATGTTTGCCCACAGAGATATTTTGTTTATTTCAGTTTTACTCAACAAGAGAGAGATTGTTTATCAAGTATCATGCCAACTACGGTAGCCCGGCAATCAGTTGAGAATCTCTCGATATAATCCCGATTGTGAAAAAGCGATATAGTGATATAGTGTTGTTTGAATTTTTGCGCAAATCCGTCAAATCCGCATCAATGTAAAATTTCGAACAAACGAAAGATTCGCTAACGTACTGGCTATACATTTGCGTCATATACGGATAAATACGTGCAACAACGGAACGTCCGTCGATAAAATTATAAAAAAAATGCATCATCTGAACCAACAATTTTACAGGAAGAAACGGAAGGGGGGACGTACAACCATCGTCAATCTCTGCACGTCCATTCGCATTCAATTGAATGCTCGATTCGAGTGTTCGTCGAATGCCCGCTCGAAAATACACGAAATTACTCGAGAAGTTTTTCAACTAATTGTCTCTTGTTGCAGTACATGTTTTCAGAAAGTTTTTCGTAAAATTACATTGTTCACGTAATAATACTTTAAATATAGCGAGAATTATTTTATGTTTGATTTTATATGCATACGACTCTATATATGGTTTCATCAACGTGTTTTATAAATTCAAAATAATAACAAAAATTTCTTCAATTTTTATTAAATTAACTTTATTACTATCTTAATCAATAATATTGATATCTTTATGTATAAAACTTATAATTTAAAAATGTTATTTATTTACAACAGATTTAAATAATATATTTTTTCTTGTTTCTCTTTTCTTTTCTGTGTGTGTCTGCTTTTTAAAATTTTTATAGTATATTTTACGAGAGGCAACTCGACAAAATGGCAACTTTGTTATATACAATATTTTAATTGTACGATAAAAATATGGTATAATATTTGTAAATTGCAGGTGTATCACATGCATCAATACTAGAGGTATCTCCATTCACTAAAAGCTCAAGAGATATTCTTGCCAGCTGATCGCGGATCTTAGCCCTTGAAACAACCTGTACAGCGAAGTAACCCAAACTCTTGGTTAAAAATTTCACAAATCTATGAAATTTCCGCCTCTTTCCGCACGAAATCTCCGCACGAAGACGGCATGCCGTCATTATCCGAACGCGAAACATTGCAACACGCCGAGGGAAAACAGCAAGAGGGTGGCTCGCTACATCGATCGGGGTTAATATCAGGGGTGGGGAAGGGGAGGGAAGTGAGGTAGCTTACAAATTGCACTCTCAATTTTCGTGAGGAAGCGCCGGCTGGCTGGCGTTGCGAGCTGCAAAGCAGGTTTTATCGAGTTAAAGCGGAAACGAAGAAGGGAGCCCGGAAGGTGGAGAAGGAGGGAGAAGGCCAGGAGGAGGGAGAGGCAGGTCGAAGAGTGGACCATTAAATCGCAGCACCTGCAATTACATCGATCTAACCGTGTCTGATGATGTTGATTTAAGTTCGAGGAAGGGCGGCGAGTGGATTTCGAGTCGTTTTCGAATTTCGCGAAGGGAAATTAAATGCGGGGCATCGTGCATTTCAGAAGAAATGAGAATTTCTCCACTATAGCAATCAAAACTGGAATAACAGAAACATTGATATCTTTACGAATTAGTTCACGTCCGTGTTTCGTAGATCTTTTTTGAAAATAATAATTTAAAAAAATATAATATTTGTAACGAAATAAATAATTTAAGAGTACATATTTGTCTCTTACACTATTTCTTTATCCGATTGCGTAAGACATTTCTCATAAATAAGATTTAACAATTCAGGCATTTAACTTAAAGTTTAAATTGATATTGTATATTCAGATATAATGAGAAAAGAAATAAACGCTGTTAGCCTGGGAAGATGTAGAAATACAATTATGCAAGTGCAGTTAAAAGGGACTAATTAGAATCAATATCTTACTGTATCGCGCACGTTGCATTATAAGTTGTACTGCGTCGCTGAAGCATTAGCTTCGCGCGGTTACACTGTCTCGCCGCAGTTGCCTGACGATTTTTCATCGCGCTCGCATAATTAAACTTTCAATACGACGCGGTGGCGATCGCGTTTTTGCGATGGACACTTCGCGCCAGCAAAAAGATCGTTAGCGCATTTCCGGAAGTGCTATATCGATAGTTTATCGATTCTAATTTACCGGAAAGTCGTTATCGGACAAAACCCGATCGTCTCGGATTTATTTGATAATTATAAAGAAACTTAGAGGTTTACGCTATTTATTTTAAAACGCGGTGGAATTAATACTTAATTTCGTGAAAATTTTTATTATCATTGTTCCAATTAAATTAATATAAATCCGTCTGTGTCGTATAGATAGTTAAATAATAAATTAAATATTTGTGTTAAAGTACTAATTATTACAATATTATATTCTTAAAATTGAGCGAGAAGAAGAGAAAAGAAGCACATAAAATACATGTAGAAATACATAAAGTGAGAACTATTTAGCCGACTAAAACACGATGTGGATAAAATAGAAGTTAAAATAAGAAATATTTAAGATACGCAATGGAGAATATTGGTTAAAATAATCAGACGTCTTCGAGTTCGACGCATACACATGCAAAACTAGCTTTCGCTTTGATGAAATGTAAAATAAGATTCGTAAAGCAGTTTCTTAATGGGTTCATGCGTTAACTTCACGCCATCGCAGAAACTGAAGGATTTCGTCGTATAATTAGACAAGTTAATTACAACGAAGTACGTAATAAGCACATCAGACTTTAAATTAACTCACGACAACCTATTCTTGATGTTTTATAAATCGGACCAAAGTCACCGCGTTCAAAACGCGTCTTTCTGTTTCATATCGTATTTGAGAATGCTGATTACATCTTTTCCGTTAATTGTTGTAATAATAAAAAACAATATAATGCGATAAAAAAAACGTTATATAATTTACTAATCTAATGTTTGAGAGAAAGGAAGAAAGAGGAGAAAGAATAAAACTGTATCAATTAAAATTTGTCTTGTGCTTGCATGACAAAATTAAAAAATATAGAATGTAAAGGAAGAAGTGTGTATATATATGTATACAAAATACGTATAATGAATACTCATAAGTATTAAGAATAAAAAGCACGGAATTGAAATATAAATACCGACTATTAAATACTTACGGTGAAACTATGAAAAAATAAAAGGTCGTAAAATAATTAAAATTTCCCGTCAAATACAATTGAATAAAATAATGTATACGAAATTACACAGTTTATATAATGAAAACGAAGCAGAAATGTAGGATAAAAATTACTACAAGAAAAGTAATTAAATGCGCGCGGCGGATCTGAAAGATAAATAAAATTCCGGACGTCCCGTTCCGTATCGTGCACGCACTTTGACGCATTAAGAACTCGTAAAAGCGTCCATTACTCAGATATTAAACATACTCTTGGCACTTACGCGTCGTCTTGCTTATGCACAAGCTAAATTTCGAGCTAATTTTACCTTGGAGTCGCTCGTTCTCGCGAATGGTTTCGCTTAATTGCGTCGCACGCTGCCAGCATTACATATGTACTCACCGTGATCTGAAACAAAAATGCAAATCAATTATTTTTTGTAATGTATCCCAATAACATATATAATTAACATAAAAGTAGCTATTACAGTATTAATTATATAATAAATCTCTAAAATAATTGACAATTATAATTTTAAAACACTAATTACAATTAATTTTTGTAATATTTATTAAAAATCCTGATTTTTAAATAGTAATTATAATTAATTTTTAAAATGGCTAAAATTATTAGACGTTTTATATACGTAGTTTAATTATAATTTTTTTATAAATTACCTACATTTTAACATTCTTTTATTGTTATTACTTATAGCAATAAATCTCTATTTTAAAAAATGTTGGTATCTGTATACATAACCTAAATTTGAAATACTTATATATACAAATATATAAATACTATATATCATGTATAAATTAATCATATGTAATTTAACCTATAAATATATGTTATTATATATGCTACCTTCCCATTGCATTGCATTAATATGTTATTACATATGTTACCTTCTCATTGCATTGCATTAATTCTACGAAGAAATAACAGTACAATGACAAAACTAATTTTTTATTTTCGTTAGAAAGCGTTTAGAAAGCTTTAAAGATATATCAAAAACGAAAATAAAATAAAATCAGTGTTTTTGTGAGAAAAGAAGCTAGCTTACACGGCTAGATTGAGATGGTAGATCTCACAGTGCCAGAGGTAAAGGATTTGTTTCAAAATTGAACAATCGTAAAACAAGTTCTTACTGTAAAATTTGATTTGCCTTTTCTGGGTCATGACGTCGTTCGTGTGAACAATTCAATTATTCCAATAACTTCTGCTCCCTACTCCGCGCGGTGGCACTATACGTTATTAAAAAAAATAAACGCGTAGGCACTTATATCACATGAGTGCACTTTCGATGCACTTGGCGTATCGATGCAGTTACGGAACGAGTTTTTGCGCGGCTTTACAGCGCATTTTTAGTGAAAGGTCGGAGGGTTGTCTTGCATTACATGTCCATAAGTCGGCGGTATATGGCGTTGGATAAAATAAAGTACGGTGCACTTTAGCCGATGAAGACGAAACGCGAAAAACTCATGGTGATGCAACATCGCCAGTATACGTCAACGATCGATTTCTCTCGATATGATTCTCGATTTAATGATACTTAAATTATGTGTGTAACATCATTGTTATTATTATATAATAGCTGTATTAGAATTAGATAATAGCGATATATTATGCGTAGTTTATTCAATGCTACTTTTGTCGGTTAAAATTCCATTTTCCATTAAAATTTTTCTTCAAAATGTCATGCCGTTTCATAAATTAGATTTCAAGCAATAAAAGACAGACGCTCCTATTATTTTCCATGGAATCGTTTATTCTTTGTGGTATCTGCACTTCTTTTGTGGCGCCTGTATTGTTGTTCCGTTGCGAAGTTATTGAAAAAAATCATAGAATGTAGATATTAATTAAGATTATAAAATATAATATGCGTTGAGTATAATAGCGCAATCACAGTAAATCATTCACTGCTGAAAACTATATAATATATGTATGAAATATGCAATCTGTCACAAACGTTTGAAATTTTCAGAAAATAATTTCAACAAAACTAGAATTTGCAACAAAAAAAACAATAATAAAAACAATAATCAGCATTTTCGTTTCAAAAAAAACGTAAAAAAATTATAAAATTACAATAACTTTAATGGCTCGACTTTTTATGTGAAAATCACTACAAACATTTCTTGCGAAACCGCATAGCATATCGCCCAGCTTTATTTTATGCTTGTTAGATGTTGCAATTGTTCAACAGGCGCAGGTTTGTGTTGCGTTAGTCAATTTTTGTTTCGGCAAACAACCTTGTATTTATAAACGCGTTGATATATTTTTGACCGTCATAAAGCAAACGTAATACCACATGGGATTGCAAAGTGAGAGGAAAAGAGGAAGAGAGAAAGAGATTCGCGATTTTGATAAAAAGGTTACGCGTCCATTTTAATCGAACCGCGAGATTGCAATCGCGGGTGCACCGAGCTATCGAGTTTCCCGCGAAATATTAAATGCAATGCGTATGCAATCGCATCGACGATTCGCGTTACAATTGCATTTATTTTTATGGCAGCGCAGAGACACCTCAGCAACCTCGCAAACATTCCCGATTATACTCGTTAAATATAAAAGAACATAGGTAAACAGAGAGGAAGAGAGAAAAAAAGAGAGACAGACTTAAAAGACTATATCAAATATTATTGAATACCTTAACCAAAATACTTTAACTAAAATATTTTATTTTCTATTTCGTCCCCTCCCCCTCCGACTTACATATGTAAAAACTTTGTATTTCTTTTTTTTTACCTCACTTTAGTTTATTTACGTAATAAGATATCTGTTTCTCTGCTCGATCCTTTATTTAGCTCCTTTTACAAATGTTCTTAATTGTACTTTGTGAATATAATTTTAAAAAAATACTGAAAGGGTTGAACAGTAAAGTTAAATATTGCCTTTCGCTATTTTTTTTCTTTGTCTTTCTATTTTTCCGTGCTGGTGATAGAAAGGATTTCTTCAATTTCAGGTATTTGCAATTCAGACACCAGGCGTCTTAGATCGCGTTTGGATAAGACGCATGCAAAAAGCAGTATCTATTTGCGTCAGAACGCTCTCGCCAGACCGGAGGGCAAGCCTCAAGCAATCCTTCCACCCACATTTAGGCGATGGGATGGTTCTTCTTCACGCGCGTTTACAAGGCGGATCGTATGCAAATCTCTAGCGGCTTAATTATGCGACACGCCTACTATATGAGGTCTCGGATCGCACGTAACACGAACCGGAAACTAATATATCTGGCTGACGATAAGAAGAAACTCTCATTCGTAGATCGCTGTGCGTTTCTTCATGTATCGCAGTAGATGCCGATCGAGAAATGAAGAGATCGAATAATTGAAATATCATATAATAAAAAAATCAGATAAATGATATGGAAATGTATTACGCTTATTATTAGAGTGTAATGTGTTTCGCTTGCTTGGATGTTGATTTTTTTAATATCTTGCACCCTATAGCACCTTTTTAGTTACCAGATAAATATATAATCTGACGATACACACAATTATCATCACGATATAATAATTAATAATAATAGCAAATTTTTGTAGTCCCTATTTCCTACGAGCCACCCGGTATAATCACCCGGACGCTGTCACGTAATGAACGCTTCCAAAGCATCACATGCGAATCTTACATTTATCTTCCTCCTTCTAACCGCCTAATCCTTGGCGGATGGCTCGTTCGTTCAAAGAGAATAGCGTTTAGGTTTCCATGGTGCAACAATATTTGCATTTTCATGACATAACGCCAAAATGTAGCAGAGAAGGTAACGGTGAAACAGAATAACAAATCACGCCCGTATACTCGTTTTTAATCCTTTCGCGCGCGATAAACTGTCAGGAAAACGTGGCGAAAATAGGATATTGCGAAGTTTAAATGCAATTTACATATGTTTTCTCGATACGATTCTTATAGTATACTATAAATAAATCATTGTGCAACTTGAATAATCTCGAGCGACCGCCATCCCGTCGCACGATGTTAATTTAAATTTTAAATATGATGAAATATAAATAAAGAAAAAATTCTCTTTACACATTTATATATATTTTTTATGTTAGTTTTATATGTTTGTTTTAAAATACGCAAGCTTTTAATTATTAATAGATAAAACGTTTTCATGTAACATGTAAAATATGTAATTTATGTATATTCAATATATTTATATCTATTAATTATTTAGAAAATGAGATATTTTAAACAGTACATGCAGTTTTTTAACTTTTCTGTATGTGTTTGATATTAATTCAATATTATATTTTTTACTTTAATACATACATACATATATCTACACATATAATGTAAAACTGATAAAATGGAAAATTTTTTGGAGCTATCTATAACAGGTCTGTTATGAACATTAAATTCTACTTGAAATTGATTCTTTCTATGTTCATAATATTTTTGAAGACATTGATTCTATTAAAATTTTAAATGCCTTATTTTGTATAACTTAATATGCATTCGTATCAATCTAAATGCAATGTGACAAAGATAATCTGAAAATATTAATATTGACTTAATTAGCTCTATGATAATCTGCATGATAAAATAACAAAACGTGTGTGCAATATGGCACATAGGATAAGGGAACTCGGGGCACATCAGGAATGAGAACATCTAAGAGTAATAATTTCGAAACATTTTATTACATGGCAGTATCTCTGTAAAAAGATATCGACCATATCTCATTATGCCCAGCGGTCCTCTATTTTTAGCGCGCGTTGATTCCGCGAGTAAAAGGCATTACTCGAAATAAATTAGTTAATATGACACCTCACAGCAGACATGAACTTTAGCGCCATAATGTTGCATTATAATTTTATTGATGAATCAAGTTTATAAATGTAATAAGTACAATTAGTCTCATTCCATGTATATGTCTTACTAAATTATATACGATTAAAAAATTCAGATTTTCATTATTTATCTAAGACGAACAGACTTAGGCTCATTACGTCTACAAAATATTTTAGAATGTACAGAATATTCTGAGACGATAAAAACTTTTGGATAAATCTGGGATTGATTTTTCTTATAATAAAAATATCCATATAATGAAAAAGTTACTCCTTTATGCTATCATTCTAAATTTTCAGTTAGAATTGTAAAATTTGAATTGTTAAAACTGTATCATTATTTATTTGCATTTCTAAAGCTTATATATAATTTGCAACTCTTTATCTTCGACGGTTCATAACTTAAAAACCATTTAGTACTTTTTTAAAATAAAAATCGCGATTTTAAATATCACAATAAACAGCTCTATATATAAGTACTTATTTTCTGTCAAATGCTTTGGATAAATCTACATAAAAATTATGTTTATATTTGAAGTTCGAGCATTGATTTTAAATATAATGGAGATCAAACGTAAATCGATCAGTACGCAACCAAAGCATTGATTAAAA